TATGTCTTCACCAGCCCCAAAGGTTGCCTATTTCATGTTTTATTTACTCTAAATAGAGTACATTTAAATTCCTCTGAATAACAATGCAATGAAACAATTAACTTTGTTGCTTGGATACTGGCAAAGAAAGTCATAAATGGCAATCACATGACCATGGAATGCTGTGGCCAATGTAAGTATGAGGACCATTAATTCAGAAGTTTGAATGATTGCTAAACAAGTAATCATTAAGCAAGAACTCCTGATACTCTTTCAGAACCAGTTTAATGTTATTGTGATCTGTGACCCCACAGTGCAAATACTCTTTAGATACACTTTAGATAACTATTCTACTTCTGTTCTCATTTTGACATAGTGTAGCTTAAAGGGTATTGCATCTCCACAGTGATCCAGTGTCACTACTGCTTCTACTTGAATTTGAAACACTTCAAGTGGTAAAAAGGATATTGCAATGATATTAACACAGGTTGAAAGAAGCAAGATGATTTCACTGACATATTTTGCTGCTCCTAAAATATTCTGATATCTTAAACCATTTGAACTAGTAACTGCTGTTAATCTCTCCCTTCAATCACTGGAGTTACTGTATAAATTGATTGCATTGGTTAAGTGCTAAAGGAGGCAAAATGGTTTCTTTAGGTTTAATCAAATTAGAATAATTAGTTTGTTGTATGTGATTGCATTTTACAAACATTATGGATTTATTGCAATATCCAATTAAAACTTTGTTTATTTGTTTAGTGTAATTATTTTAGTTTTAAAGGAAATAAAAGATGTCCAAGAGATTTGATGGGAAGAAATTTGGGGGATATGTGATTGCTCTTCCAAAGGACATTGTCCTTATAGAACAACCATGTTTAATCTGAATATTTTATTCCTTTACTATAATATTAAGCATAACCTTAGGCTTTATAAATCAGGAAATATATGCAAAATGTCAGCTATATTTAAGCTTCAATTGAGTACTATTGCTGATACTATTGCTGTTCTCCAAATAATAATTGGATTCCTAGTAGGTTTGGTATCATCAACAGATATTTATTAAGTTAGGCTGGATCCCTCAATTTATGACCTAATTTTGGATTTCCGTGAAGATCTTGACTTGAACTGTTTTGCCAGTTGCAGAAGGTGGTCTGTAGAGCCATCCATGCAGAGGCAACTCTTTGAAGGGAATGCAGACCAGGGGTGAAATCCAGCAGGTTCTAACAGATTTTGGAGAACTGGTAGCAGAAATTTTGAGCAGTTCGGAAAACTGGCAGTGGAAATTTTGAGTAGTTTGAAGAACCAGCAAATACCACCTCTGGCTGGCCCGAGAGTGGGGTGGGAATGGAGATTTTGCAATATCCTTCCCCCAGAAGTGGGGAGGGAATGGGGATTTTGCAGTATCCTTCCCCTGCCACGCCCACCAAGCCACACCACATCCACCAAGCCATGCCCACAGAACCGGTAGTAAAAAAATTTGGATTTCATCACTGATGCAGACCTCTCTCTTTGTGTTTGTCTTTGCCTGGCTTGTTGGTCTTCATGCAGGAGGTCTTCATTGAGAGTGACTGTTAAGGGGTTATTTTCAGCTTTAGGATTTATTGAAAGTACTGAAATCTTTCTGTTGAAGAAAAAACTATAGCAAAGAATTTCCTCATAACAGATTATAAAGTAAGTGATTTTTCATCTGGGTCAAAGAAAGTTGTATCCCTTTTCTAATATGGTAGGGTTTTTTTAGATTTACAAATATTTTTAGATTTTTTGGGCGGGTTGGGTAGTAGCTAACAGATTATCACCATACTCTTATTGTGGTCCAAGGGTAAAAAAGCAATTAAGGGCCATGTTCCAAATTTTTTTTAATTCTTTTTTTTTTGTCAGAATACTAACAACTTTTTAAAGTTTTGTTTGGTTGGAACTTGGCTCAACAAAAATGTTTCCAATTTTGTTCATCATTTATTTTGAAGTTCAAGAATGTGAACTTCAATCCAAAATTTGGAATGATCATAATCTAGGTGTCTGTCTGTCTGTCTGTCTGTCTGTCTGTCTCTCTCTCTCTCTCTCTCTCTCTGTGTGTGTGTGTGTGTGTGAGTGAGTGAGTGAGTGAGTGAGAGAGAGAGAGAGAAAGCACAAGAGAATTAGTATTTTATGTCTCAGTCTTTTCACTAAAATCAAGTATGAAAAAGAATTCTGAAGTTGTTCACTATTACAAAGACTATTTGCTATCTACCCTGTGTGATGAAATGCAGTAAACTGGATTCTCTGGAGGGAGGAGGTGCCTTCCAGAGACATACGAGGGAAAAGAGAGTGAGGACAGACCCTACTTAGTTCTCAGAGGATATGAGATGCAGTTAATCGAGTGTTTAGTTTAGCAAGATTCTGTCTATAGGTGTGGAAACAATAAAGAATTCAGCTTGGAAGAATAATCATGTGTCATTCTCAGTTTTGGGACTTGACGTCATGTTTACACAAAGCACAGAACTATTTTGATTACCAGAAATCAGTATGTAACTGGTTTCATCCTAATTGGGAATAAACACATCTATGTAGCCAGATCTCATTTTATAGGGATAAAATATTGGGAAATCATGAATCTTACACTTTAAATGCTCTATAGTAAGTTAATCCTATGAGCTATCCAGGTATTCATGCTCAGGGATATTGCAGGAAGGATATATACAGTCTATCATTGTGGTATATATAATTCACCTTCCCTTAAACTTGTACACATACACACACATATACATACACAGTGTTGTACAGATATATAGATATACATCTCTTTCTCTTCAAAATGAAGAGAAATTGTCAATAGTGCAGAGGTTTTTGCACAGCACCGAAGCAAAAGCAAATTTATAAAATAATTCTCTAAATAGTATTTATACTATGCTGTTTTGGTACATAGAAATTATTTCTCTGTAGAATATACATCAAGTTTGAAGCAGGGATCAGGGACTATTTAAAGAAACACTACGCAATTTTATCTTACGTTATCACTAAACACAAAATCCATTGTGACAGTAAAAGCCATATGGATTTCAAAGATTGATTATTCATTACTAAGGTTTATGATTTTATAGCTGTTTCTGAATAATATATTTTCATACAGATTATATCTGCTTTGTCTTTTCATCATATATCTTATATTTCAAATGGCTGGAAAAATTAGAAAACATATAGTAATAGTCTAGTTAATTTAATAATTCATCATTCATCATAGTGTATACTAAGCCAGCATTTTCAATCATATAGTGGAGACATTGGACTAGGACCCGAGACACCCAGATTCAAGTTTACACTCAACCATAGAAAGTCATAGGATAACTTTGGCTGGGTTATTATCTTGTAGCTGAATTAAATTCACAAAGTAGGGCTAAAAGGAAGATATGCATGTCAAACACATTGTGTTTAATTATAATAGAGGGCAAAAGAGTTATGTTCCATGTCTGCTATTAAAAAGAAAAGTTCAAGTTTAGTTTTAAATGGAGATCACTTTGATGGTTATCATTCAAATCTGAATAGAATAGTGACTTCTTTAGGAAATGGATCTGGGAAAATTTAAAGATGATAAAGTCCCATACAAGTGCTATTCTGGATCCTTTTAAACTATATTTTTCAATTACTACCCAGACTTGGAACTGGATTCACACTCAACTGTAAGCTTACCTAGTGGCTTTAAGAAATTGTTTTTTCTTCAGAGAAGGAACAGTTAAGGGCGTCTGACTATTTATCATGAATGTAAATATAGAAGTGTGGGCTAGCCAGTGTATTTTGGTTCCCTAATGATTAATAGAAAAAATATATTTTTGGCAGACCATTTATCAATGCACTATTGCATTGCAAGATATTGCAACACAGTGATCAGTAAAATGTGCCTAGTTGGGATAAGAAGAAAACAGTGCTTTGAAACTGGAATAGTTAAGAATGATTTAGGTGCTTAAAGTGTAGGATAAGATCAGATTGAGGCAATGTCATGAAGACAAGCTGCAAACAGAAGACGCTGAGACATGTTTCTACTGTGGTTCAGTAAGGCTTTGTGGTGAGCCATGGTGGCGCAGTGATTAGAATGCAATATTGCAGGCTAATTCTGCCGACTGCCAACAGTTCGATCCTGATTGGCTCAAGGTTGACTCAGCCTTCCATCCTTCCAAAGTCAGTAAAATGAGTGCCCAGATTGTTGGGGAAAATATGCTGACTCTGTAAACTGCTTAGAGAGGGCGGTAAAGCACTGTGAAGTGGCATATAAGCTGAAGTGCTATAGCTATTTGTCACAGAAGAAGTAAACAAAAGGGTAAATGGGCATATCTGCAATATCTTGGAAAACTTTTATGACAAGAAGAAGAAATTGCTTTTTCTGTGCAAGATAATAGAAGAAAACACAGTAATTTTTGAAATATTGAAGATGGAATTCCTGATAAATGAATAACTACAGTAGATACCTAGTACAAATGTATGTTGTACTGAAAACTATGGAAATGTGCATGCTAGTTTGAAGACATAAGAGGTAAAGTCCCTCAATGATACAGAAATCTTACAGTATTTTTTCCACAATTCCAATTTTATTAAATATATTATCACTTGCAAATGTTATAGAAAAAAATACAGTTATCTGAATCCTCCTCTATTTGGAGTCGGAGTACTCATTCAACTCATAGTTTGGTTCCACTTCCACTATAAATCTGATTGTTATTAAATTCACATTCCAATATGTATATTAACCAATCAAATATATACTACAGTTAAATACTCTATTTTATGGTATGAAATTCTTGTTGATAAGTTTAAAGTTGGTGCCATTGACAAAGATGCAGAGACAAATTCCTTGTGTGTCCAATAAAGAATTCTATTCTATTCTATTCTATTCTATTCTATTCTATTCTATTCTATTCTATTCTACTCTACCCTACCCTACCCTACCCTACCCTACCCTACCCTACTCTATTCTACCCTACCCTACCCTACCCTACCCTACCCTACCCTACCCTACCCTACTTTCTAGCTAATTCTGTCTGTCTTTGCAGGAATTGTTCATTGAAATTGACACCTGATCTGAAGCCAAGTGCCTTCTCTAGAGAAAAGGCCCCTACCTTGCTCTTCTGATAAGACACGTGAAAAAAATACTGGCACAAGATTACCTCAGGTAGCCACCAAGTGTAATTTTTCAAGTCCACTACCACTGGCCTCCAATGGGCTGGTTCAGGGCCAGTGGGAAAGAATTCGAATGCTGATTTGGGATACAATTGTACTAGTTGCAGAAAAGAGTATTTGCAGCACAAAGCGGCAAAAGGCACACAGAAGCCTCACCCACCCACCTAGCATAATATCTCATCCTGGGAGATCAGGGCCTAGTTAACTCTACCTGCATCTCTCTCCCAGTTGTACCTTAGTATTTTTTAAAGAAATCTTTTATACAATTTCTTTCCTGTTCAAATTCCCTGTTCACTGTTTGATGTGCCTTTTTGTATAGAAAACTGGACATAGATATTTCAGAATAAATAGTTTTAAAAAGCAAATGAAACCATTCATAAACAACTCTTTTCTTATCAGGCTGCAAATTAATGCAGGTAAACCAATATCATCAAAGAAATCATTATGACAGCCTTTTGTACATGAATTTAGTAAACATGGAATAATAGATACTGTATATATATATAATTAGCCCTAATATGTATAATTTTTAGTCACTCATTACTGTTAACGATTGCTAAGGATCCAATCATTCTGCACATACAGTAAATGGAAACATATCCATATTGATATTTTAAGGAAAATTCATAATTTAAACATACCAATAGAAAAGGACCAGTGCAGAACACAGAATGATGGTTTTAATCTGTAGAGAACTTCGAGTCCGATTTAATATTAAGTGAACAAAGTTTAAAGGTAGTTGCAGTACAACAAGTTGAACTAATTAGAAAGGAAAGCGGTTGGCATCCCTCTGTGTTGTATTCAAGTAGTTACTGGCGAGTCATTTGTGAGGTTCTTTGATTTGCCTTATTGCACTGAGCAGAAGGTTGAAGCTGAAGGCTCAAGTGCCGATTTCCAATTCTGCATCTGTTAATACGAAAGGAAAAACAATGATTCTAGGTTTATGACAGCTAAGTGTACAATATTCATAGAAATACTGAATAAATTTCATTCTATTTTCTATTGAAAGGACAACTGGAAAAGAATAACAGAAAAAAATGACAAAGAAATGCTTTTTGGTTTTAATAATGCCCATTTGTCTTTTTCCAATATAATATCGTAAAATTATTTCTTGTCTTTGTTGTTCCCCCAGCAAAAAGAAAAAAGTACTGACATTTCAGTTTCATCAGGAGAGACATGCTAAGTGTTGGATTTCATTATTGAAATGATAAGTCTTACTGAGAATGATAAGTCTTACTGAGAATGAGGGAAAAAACAATATTTTAAAATGGAAGGGACATTTTCAAATTTGGGGAGTAGACTAATTAAATAGCAAGTAACTTAGTAGTAACTTAGATTAAAAAAATGAAAATCATGTTTATTGCTCATTGAAACTTTAATAAAGAGGCATTAGCTTATGGTATAAACCAGAGGTCAGTTTCCTGCATCATTTACTTTCTCCGACCTGGGTTTGCAGACACACAATCAGTTTAAAGTTGTGGCACTGTCTGTACAAGCTTCTGCAAACCCTTACATTATGTACCTGGGCATGATCTTGGTAAAGTTTAAAAAATAGGCATCTATCTTTCATTTTTGGATACAATGAAATCACTCCTTTGAATCCAGTGTTGAAAATACTAAGGTGCATATTTTTTGAAGCCTCAGCATGGATGCTTCCAGAACTTTACCATGTCTTTTTAAAATGCATATGGGAGAACCTTCTGGGGCTGCTGCAACAGTTTATCCAGTTCTATTGGTCAACACATTTGTTCAGCTTTCTCCACATGTTGGCAACAGTTCCCAGCTAAAGGGATTTTTTTTTTCATTTTCTTACTCCCTGAATGTGTTCTGAAGCAGGAATGACAGAGATTAGATGTGTCCTACTGAAGGGCAAGGATTTTGTTCAATCTATTATATAAATAATAACATAATCAATATTTGCAATTCACTTTATAGCAAGATAGAAAAAACTTTTTAAAAAATGAAATGGGCAGGGTCCATGTTTTAATTTCTGTTTGTTCCACTATATATGTTATGCTAAGTAGGTTTCAGCCTTTCAATTATATAGCAACCAGATTCAATATGGTCCTTTGCTGTCTTACTAGAATCTATATAGCATAGAAAAGTTAGATTATTATATAGTGTGTGCACCCATTATTTCACTGCACCACATATATAACATTCTCTCCCAACAAATTTCAAGTTCAGGAAGATTTTTCTTCAGAAATGTAGTTAAGAAAAATATACCAAAGGGAAGATCACAGGACCCATTATAATCTAAATCACAAATGGATGTAATTTTTAAGATTATTTTAGGGGCAGTGGCAGTTATAGTAGACTTGATTTTTCAAGTACAATAACTATGTATTTTCTTTATTGCTCAGAAATCATAATGCATTTTCCCCAAATAACCACTATTGTCCAGGATGTACTAAGTCAGAATCTTGCTTGCAAAGGATAGGTCATGGAAACTAACATGACTTATACAATAAGATCATGAACCATATGAGATTTGGCCAAATGGATATCAATTGCCACAATAAGAACTGTTAATTCATGTAGCCATTCACGTTGCTTTAGTTTAAAATCCTACAGTCAAATGCAAGGAGATATTTTTGTGACATCCGCTTTGATCTCTCACAGTTGTAATTGCACAAACCAGCCCCCCACAATCAAATTGTACCATAGAAAATGCTTACAAAACTATGGTTTATAGTGTTAAATCTAGTAGAGTTATATGTTTTAATCTCCAGATGGTTCCAGAGAGGTTACACAAATTTGATCATAAGACAGGAGGAACAAAGTTAATGGGAAATCTGTACTCTCTGATGCTGGAAATAAGGTGTCCCTGATGTATAATTCAGTAAAGCAAAACAATTTATACTCTAGTATATATATCAGCAGACTATAGCTGGCAGAGATAAAGGATAGCTAGTATACATACACAGTATTTTTTTAGGTCAGCAAAAGTGACGAATGTGCAGGCTCGGCATTCAAAACAACTTTTATTTCCCTCTAGCAAGTGTGACCTACTGCATAAAACATTATTGAACAAAAAAGCTACCCTGGAAACTAGGCTTTACAATCCCCTAATGTTGCTTGTAATGTACTCACAAAGATTTGATCCTGAGCTTCTTAAGCAATGAATGTTCTTAAATTACTGCTCTGCAGAACAGCCATTCTGCATGTTGTGAACCAATTCTCCTTGTTTTCATTCAATTTTAGTAAAATTTGCATGGGTGGAATATATAGTATTCTTGCCCTGATGGCCAAGAAATCTGCCTGTCCCTGTATGCATTTGTGGCCTTCCTGGCTTTCCATGCTTCAATTACATCCTGAGGGAACTCAAAATGGGAAGATATGAGCAGCTAGTAAGATTTCAGAATAATAAAAAACACAGTAGAAATAACATTAGCATCATTGCCTTCAAGCAAGATAAAAATGCTACCAAGAGATATTTGAAACGAATGCTTGGATATCTTGGAAATCAGGGGGTTTCTTTTATAAAAAAAAGTATAATCTTTTTTCCCCTAGAGAAAGAAAACTTTTAAGAAACTAAAGACCAAATTTTAATACAGCATTGCTTGGAATTGAATGAAACAGTTTATAGGAAGTGGTAAATAGTTTAGCATGATTCAAGTGGTTCCTTAGCATCAGTTTCTCAATGTATGCAGATCGCATTGGCTTCTTTTAAGTTACAAACTTGTTTCACACTTTGTACTAGGCAGTAACTAGGGTATGGTTTAGAATGTGTGAACATTGCCGCAGTTTTGCACTGATCAGTGCTTTTGTAAAAATTTAGCCAGTTATGGCTTATCAAACAAACCATAGTTAAGAAAACTGTAACTTGGTATTATGTATGAAATACTCAGAGTCTGTTATAGAGTAAACATTGTTTTCTGCGGATATGAGAATCTCTTGATGGAGACTTCCCTGAAGCATAAAGATAATTGTACAAGTTAGTTAGGCCAATTATATATCTTTCCCCTATGATATGCATGTATTTGTATGTGCAAAATGCTTGTGATTTGGGAAAGGACATAAGACCAGTATCTTTTTTCTGTGGAAGGAAAATCAAATAGGTGGGACTATTTTAAAAATTCACATTTCCTAACCCTAGAACTCATTGTTCCTGCCCCTTGCTAAGTCTTTTTAGAGACAAAAGATCCCAAAAGTAGATTTTTTTTTTGAGTTACCTATCCAGTACTCTTTCATGCCCTGAAACAAATTTAGGAAAGGATGCTGGTGTGATCTCTTTTTTTAGGAATGATGAATTTACAATTTGGTGATAACACTAGCCCTGATTGTGCATTTGCCTAACAATATTTGCTCCGGATTGTGGGCAATAAGCTGACTTTGTATAAAAAAGAACAGCACTTGGGGGGGCCAAAAGCCCTACTAAGCAGGTATATATAAAAGTATGAAGGCTATTGCTTAACGCATTGTAAGCCGCCCTGAGTCTCCGGAGAAGGGTGGCATATAAATCGAACCAATAAATAAATAAATAAATAAATAAATAAATAAATAAATAAATAAATAAATAAATAAATAAATAAATAAATAAATAATAAACTAAAGGACTCCAACAGGGTGAAGTGCAAGCTGTGTATGTAACTCTTGTACCATTTTTATCCAATTCCATTGTTGTAAGAAGGAAAAAACGTAGGAGATAATTAAAGATCAAGATATTTGGTGGAGTGAAAAACTCACACAAGAAGCTCCTCCAAACGTCTTGATTGTTAGCTATCTATATCTGACCAATGAGACATACAGAACAAGGAGAGAAAAGGAATATTTCTCTTTCGTCTTTTCTTTCCTCCTGATAACTCAGTTGCAGTGCAATAGCTGTACCACTGCTTGTAAATTGATTCATTGGAATGCTATATTAAAATTTGCTGTTTAGTTTAGATTTGTAAGATGTTTGAGCATTTCTTTGAGAGCACAAGATCCTGAGACCATAGGAGATGTAGTTTGTCCAAGCAATTCTGTAGTATAAACTACTCCTTTGTTTTTAAACACCAACTTTTTAGTTTTTTTATTATCATTTTTTTGGAGAATGAAAGACAAGGAATTTTGGAAACTTGGTTTTTTTCTTTGTTTGAGGTCATGCAGGATTTAAAAGGATGTTTTTGGAAGAACTGGAGATTCTTTCATAGCCTCAAGATTGAGCTGTAATAAAAAGAATTTGCAGTTTGTAAAAGCACTCATTTGAAATGGATTTTTATTGGTAAAGGTGAAACATCAGTGTAGCAAATAAATATTATACTTACTAGAATCAAAGATTCATTTTTTTCCTAAAATAATACACCTTTAAAATGGAAAAGTAATTTTAGATTTACTGGGAAAGAAGGAAAACCAGGTGAGGTGGTGATAGATTGGGGTTTTTTTGAAGGGGAGGTATCTAATATGCCTTGAGGAAGAAGAATAGTCTTAAATTCAAGGTTATCTTTCTTTCAGTGAGTATGAGTGATATATTTTTGAGCGACAAGCAGACCTGTCTAAATCAAGGTTTAGATAAGTATGATTCATATTTATGGCATGGATGCGGGGATTAGAATAGGTGTGCCAACATTTGAAGCAAGCATCTTTGATCTACAAGAAGTAGAATTTTTTGGTATTTATGCAACCCTGATAGGACAGAAAAAATAATAAGTAGGAATAAAAATTTAGAAAAAAACTGCAGTGATATATAACCTGTAAATGGAGCTCATCATGCTATCGAAATAAGAACTATACCATATTCATACTCAGCTCAATCAGGTGAAAAAAGAAAGCACAGAATTCCACAAGCAGGATGGTGAACTTATATTTTGCCTTACTCACTCAAATTATTCAACTTTTTTTTTTTTTTGCTTAATATGTGGAATGAATTCCATTTAGGCTGTTAGTTTATAGTCCAATGTAGATGTATATATAACATTATAAATAGTAGTTGAAACCCTATGAGTGAGTATGCCTTATGAATGCACTGCAAGATGAAATGGCCAGACTGTAGGAATCAGAGAAGTAAGCGTTGCATGACTCTAAACTTGGCATTCTGAAACAGCCTTCATTTAAATGGCAACCTTATCATATTCTGTTTCTTTATTAGTGAGATTGATATATTGCCTTTCCTAAATGCACACTGCACTCATCCCTCCATTTTTTTAATCCCACAGTAACCATCCTGTGGGGTAGTTCAAGATTCCATGGCTGAAGGCAAGCTAGAACCTGCGTCTTCCCAGTCCTACTCCAAAACTTCTGTTCTCTTCTTGGAAAAAATGAGGCACATTTACTGAAGATATCAATTACTATGACAGCCTACATTGGAAAAAAAGTGTATTCATACATGGGTGTTATCCATTTTCTAAAGGTTAACCTCACAACATGCTGAATAGGAAAATTCATGTATAAATTTATATTAAGCTCTGTCAATTAGGGAGGGAAAAATGTAGAGTAGCTATTTTGAGAGAAGGTGGGAATGTCTTAATCACAGGGGAAGGTATGGATTCAGCAGCTCACTGCAAAATAAAAAGCTGTTACAAAACTGTTTTCCTTCATTTGTTCTTTTGTGTCAGATCACCTATTTTATATTATCGTGGTTTCTGTAAATTATCACTAAGGCCCTGATTTGTAATACACTGACTGTGTTTACACCTTGTGTTAAGACATTTTTAGACACTATTTATTGAATAAATTGCAATTTACTAGTTTTACACAAGCTAAAACAAGAAAATAAGTTGGATTTGGGCTTACATGTTGATCCAATCATGATGGTTTATTCAGAAAACTGTGACTAAAGAAGCAATGGCTTAGTACAGCCTGGAAACATCATGGGAAACATCCTTCATTCTAAGGAATTAGAAAACTATACACTTTTAATGATGGGAATGGAGACAAAGGCACACTAGGGAGTAGACGGATTTCTTTGTGTGTGACCTAGCAGGCCACAAGAAAGCAAAAAGCAGTACATGAATATTCTGGATTCCATTTAAGCATTCCAGCTTTGCAGTTACTCAGCTGGTATGTTGCAGGAGCCCAGCTGCCTTTTTCTTCTTCGTTTATTCTGCAAAAAATAATTAACAGAGGTTGTTTAAAGACAAAAAAAGAATGTTCGCACTAGTTTCACTCTTGGTGTTCAGTCATTTGCTATCTGTGGTTAAAGAGTATTAGCTTTTCTTTTCCCCCTGTCAGGAAAGCCAATAATGCAACAATGGGAAGAGGAAACAATCACACTAACTCACATCAATGAAAAGAAAACCATTATAAAGGAACAGAACCCTGGAATGGAGAAGAAAGGCACCCAGCAAAGAGATAGTGCAGAGATAGTGCAGACAATATATCACATGCAGCATGTGACAAGTTTCTTACTTGTTCCCTCAGAAGCCTGTTACCACTTGTTTGTGTTGTCCTGACACTGCCAACTGCATGTCACAGAGAAATGAGTCAGGTGAAGCTTTCGTATGATATAAAAATCAGTCATTGGCCAGTATTATACTTGGTTATTGGATGTTGTATTCTGGTTTCTTACTAGAGCACAGTAAGACTAGAGAGAATATTGTATAATTTCAGGGGGAAAATGAGAAATAAACTACGGCTACCAGATCTGGACAACCACTGGATGGTAGCAAAGAGATCTAGATAAGTGATCTTTCTGCCATCCTGTGATTAACTGGACTTTGACAAATTCCTGGTTATGTTTTCATGAAGATTTAAACTTTTGGGGGTCAGTAACCTTGATTCATAAAAACATTTCTGTGTTTAAATAACATACGGATCATGGTCTGCACAGCTGTAATTTAACTGACATTATGCAAACATCACAAATCAGACCAACCAGATTATGGATTAAATATGTGTAAATTTAGCTAATGTGACTTAGATTATGTGTGAAGCTAATTAGTATTATTATATTTCTTAGAAATAGCTGCATCAGGTCATCTTGACTAATGTTACTTAAACAATTAACCAAATGGCTTGTATCTAGACAAAAATGGACATACATTTACTTCTATCAAACAGTTTCTCCACGCTTGTCTCACTAAGGACTATTAGTTGGAGGAAGGACAAAACAAATGAAAATTATGAAAAGAAACAGAAGAGGGGAATATCCAAGAGCTTGAACAAGGGTTATATGCTGTACCATGAGTGCAGCCATTAAAGGGAGGATGGAAAATGAGGCATTAGGCATTGGCATAAGGTCCTGCTAATGGGAAAGTTGCCCACCCCCAGAGAGATCAATTAAACAAAAGAGCAAAATAGAAGGTTTTGAATATGAAGTGTTGAGGAGTCAAACTAGAAGAAATTGGCTTGGCTGCTCATCAGGAAACAAAAGTCTGATCAATCATGCAGAAATTGGAAGGTTTCCTTTTCTCAGTAAGTTTAAAACGAGAAAAGGAAATAAAAGAAAGTAACAATTGATATCTGCATGAGCTTTACCAATCATGGTGGGTAGGGTAGAATGAATAATAGATGGGAAATTGCTTTTTCTCAAAATTCAAAAAGTGTGCATAGGGTTTTGTCCTCTGAAATAGGACTCCTTTCTCCTAGCATAAAATCTGTTTATGGGACTCAGTGCTGCAAGAAGCTCCAGAGCAATTTGCCTGTTACTAAGCAAAAACATATTCCTATTGCCCATATTTATTACTAAGGGCTTAGTTTTATATTTATTTATAACTGGTTCAGAAGGGGATAGGATATTCAGCTGTTTTCCAAAGCTGTTTTTGAATTCAGCTGCAGAGATTATCTTTATATCTTAAAATTGTTCATTTTTACAGTGATTGTACATATCTAGCAGCATGGGTTGGAAAATCCACCTATTTGCTTCAGATCAGTGGTAAGCGGAATACTTATAGCCTTATTACAAGAGTTACATGAAAAGTAGAATCTTTAGTTCATTGGTTCTGCACAGCATTCTAATATACGGTTTTCTTAACCATGGTTTATTGAATACCCCACAATTGACTGAAATAGCCCACTGAAGTAAGCAAAGCTTCTAATTTACAGCCTACAGTCAGTGGTGAGATTCAACCAGTTCGCACCATTTCGGGAGAACCAGTTGTTAACTTTCTGAGCAGTTTGGCAAACTGGTTGTTGGAAGAAATCATTAGGGGAGAGAACTGGTTGTTAAATTACTTGAATCCCACCACTGCCTACAGTGCTGGATTTAAGCTAAATCAAATAGAGCACAATGTGTAAACCAGCTAAATTCATCAGCAGAATGTTTGTGGGCATGAACTATGATCTTGCAACGTCAGATATTTCATTTCCTTGATCATCCTTTGTTTGCATGTGTGCAGTATGCACTGTCTTGATTGCCTCACATTTAAAAGAGTTCAATGGTGTTAGTCTAAATTTTTATGATGCTATAAATACAGTATTTGCTATTTAGTATAACACTTTGGGGGAGAGTTCCCACAATAGTACATTATCCAAGGTCATATTTGATGTGCTGCTGTTAGGCTTCCTTTTTCCTATCTTTTCATTGGGGAGTGAATAGTTTTGTTCAGTTATGAGGTGTCAATTAGCTTTAATTGCAGTATACTTTAATTAAATGTAGGAGAAAGGCCTCAAAAATACTTGATATGTTCTGTATCATTCATGAGAAACAGTCATAGCAGATTGGGGTTGATATGCAGCTAGACTGATAGTATAAAAAAATAAACTCATCTTGTCATTAATATTTGAACACTGTCATTTTTCTGTCCCTGCTGCCATTATATTTATAGCATTTCTTAAACTACTTGAGAATGACTCAATCTAATGAGATCTGTTGGGAGGACAGAGAAGCAAACTTGAGTACAACAGCTTTTTGATTAATCTTTATTGATAATTATGACAAACAAGGCACCGTTAATGTTTCACAGACACCTGAATTCCTAGTACCATACATTTCATGTTATAATTCAAACCAAAAAATGGTTCAGCTGCTACTGCATGTTCTTGAAATGAGGGCTTATATATACTGAGTATCTGCTGCCACTTTCCTTTTCTAGCCCTAAATGTTCAGGTCTGGCAACAAATAAGAAGCAACAGAGGTAACTTTTTGAACCTCAGTATGTCTTTTCATGCTAATAATGGCAACAATACCTAAACCCAGTTTGGAAAAATTGACTCTCCTGACCACCAGCTATTCATTTACCATCCCTTCATAAAGCATGTATAATGTTATTGTTCAGAGTTGTCTCTCTTTTTTGGGTTTTAGGATTATATTCATAATTTTTTGAAATAGCTCTACTTCTGTGAATCTAGAAGACATCGATCAGTTAGACCACATCTGGTTGCCTCCAAACTGAGAGTATTTATGCCCAATATTTTCATAGGTCTTTAATTAACAAAAGGTTTCATCTGGCTTCTACGGAAGTGAAATAAAAATATTTTGTAACTTATATGCCCATCTTTTTATATGACTACATGATATAAGAAGTAGCTATTGTAACAAACTCATATTTTAAGAGCTTCTATAGACCAAGTTCTGTGGTCAGCATCGGTATAGTGACAAACCATTCTGAAATCTTACCATATTTAGTAGCAAATGAAGGGAAAAGAGCTATAAATAACATGTATTGTATATAAGCATCAAGCTGTAGGAAATGTATGTCATTACTTTTGCCTGACCTGGAAATGAACTGGTAAAACCGAATATGGAATATATGGTGAGGTGTTCTGTCCCCATCTCACAAACGCACACAAACAGTCAGCCAGGAGTTAAATAAAACTTGTAGACAATAAATTCCTTTGATAACAGGATTGGCAGCAACCCAGTAGTTGCTTGCCAAGAACTTTACTCACAGAGAATCAAAACAAATACACAAAGCCACAGAATTGTCAAGTCCAGTCTGTATTAAATCCAAGGCAGGCAGATAACGTAGTTTCAGCAATACAATGCGACTCACTAGTTGTTTAGTTTTGTCCGTCACAGAGCCTGAATGGCCACCACACCCCCTTTTATCCCCTGTGGGGTGTGGTCCAGTGACTCAGCTTAATCTCTGGCACGCCTCCTTTTCTGCTGCGTGCGCTTGTCTCTCCGATGCTGGCGTGGATCCAGCCAAGACTTATCTTCATCACTGTCCGACTGTGACCGCTCGGCGATACCTGGCTCCTGGCCAATCTCTTCTCCTTCGGGAGACACCTGAGGCATTGCAGAGAGAAGGGTCCTGGAGAGGGAGGCCTGGCCAATTCCTCTCCTTCACTTTTGGAGCCTTCTCCCTCCAATAAGACGGGCTCGGGGGTTGGAGTCACAACATGAGGTTTCTCTCTAAAGACAGTCTACATTGGTGGTGCAGTGGTTAAAATGCAGTATTGCAGGTAAACTCTTCCCACAGCCTGGCATTCGATTCTGTTGGGGCTCAAGGTTGACTCCGCCTTCACTCTTCCGAGGTCGGTGAAGAGAGGAACCAGATTGTTGGAAACATTGCTACATTGTAAATCGCCCAGAGAGTGCATTAATGTGTTATGGAATGGTATATAAACCCTAAATACTATTGCTATTGCTATACCATTGGTAGTATAGCTGAATTTCTACATTCAATTAAGGCAGTACAGTGTGGATTCTAATTAAGGAAAAAACATAACTGTAGATAGAAATGTACACCATATTAACAATAGGATCAATTTTGTATCATGATAATTGGTAGGTGTTATGTCCATGATCTAACAAGATGTTTAAGCAACCACTACAATGTCTGAAATGTCTTAAAAAAACAAACAAACCCAGAAAGTCCAGTTGCCTTTTGAAAAATCACCTTTCGGACAACCATGACCTGGATGACTGAGAATCTCCATAGACATTTAGCGATGCACTTTGGGATGAACACCTATCAAATGGTGTGGGAATATGAATAGATTTCCAGAGTATAAATCCTTCCATTCCCATCATCCAGTCAGAGCTGAAGAAGCTTCTTGGATGACAAGTGAAACATCTTCAA